GTTAGACTGCCTCTCTCTCCAGACAAACTGTGTCAGCTTGCAATAACTATTTGCGATTCAAGGAGAATAGATAGTGACTTGCACTTGTGCTTTATATATTCCAGATAAGAGTAAAAAAGTTATTTCAGTCAGCCTTCCTTTCATGTTCACGTAAAAAATTCATAGAAGAGATGTGCCTTTGCTAATAGATGAATTGTGGTTGCTGCATAAAGGATATAAGTTTAAATCTGTGAACTTCAGAGATAGAAATTTTAGAGTGGGTTTTGAATAAAACTTAGCCTTCCTTGTCTTTCTGTTATGGAATACTGCCTAAGTGATAAGATAGATAGCACAAATGTCTAGAGGCTTCTTTACCTTATGATTCAGGGCAAGATTTTTCTTTGAGCCATTTACCTGACTCTATCTATCTCTAGAGGTGATATCTTTGGCAGGTTGGGAAGCATTCTAGCTACTTTGATAATTGGCTTCATTGTCTTTTAAAGAACTAGAAAGTAGGGGTTAAATCTCTTGATTATTGGTTTTCTAGCAGTGCTTCTTTCTTTAAACATGAATGTCATAGCTGAAATCAGTTGTAGCTTGCACTTTTAGAAACACCTGCTAGTTAGGGAAGAAAGGGTAGTGATCCAGTGAAAGGTGGTTCATCTGACTTCATCTATCTTCTACCTCAAGATATCTGCTACGTGCTCTGGAGTGTGTCATCTTGGAGGATGCCTTGAGGATACACAAATCACGTAGAAATGAAACAAATGCCAATTTTTTATCTAGAATTTCAGATGGGGAAATCAGTGTCAAAATCTATTACACCTCTTAGGGCCAGTGCTTTAGTTCTGATATGTAAACTTTTCTGCCCTGGCAGTGATAGTCTCTTATCTCAAGGTTATTCCCATGGATCATATAGAGTGCTAGTCATCCCACCTGGCTCAACCATGGTTTTTGGTCATGGGATGGGGAAAGAGTGACTCTCAGCTGCAAAGATTGCATATCAGCATCTCAGCCAGCCTATTTATATTGCTTAAAGCCAATTTAAGGGATAAGGAAAGGGCCTAGCCAGTTCTGTTGAACCCAGGGTCTTTGAACTGAGCTATATCCCTAGCATTTTAATTTTTTAACTTTTATTTTGAGACAAAGTTTTGCTGAATTGCTAAGTTTCCCTGATTCAGCTCAAAATTGGAATTCTCATGCCTCATTCTCCAGAGTGATAGGATTACTAGCATGATCTTGTATTTAAATGTAGTCTTCACTCTAGCAGTTACCTCTGTTCAGAATTTCTCTAGATACCTAAACAACTCACACCCTCATTCTTTCAACCATTTACTCAAAATAATAATGTTTTTGTTAGATAACGTTCATGTTAAACAAGGCAATGGTCTTGCCTTCAGCTATTTTCAGCATTTTTCTTTCCTTCAATTTTTCTTTTTAGGATTTACCTACTTTATATATTTATATAGTACTTATTTATTATTAATATATTGTATATTTATATATTTTTATGTATTTATATTTTTTAAGATTATATATATTTATATATTTTTATGTATTTATATTTTTTAGGATTTACCTATTTTATATGTTGTCTTTTTCATTCTATCTCAGAAACTATAATATAATGTAAACCAGAACAGGCATTTTTGCTATCATTCATTAGCAAATAACCAAGGCCTGATACAAAATTAGTATGAAATGAATATTTGTTAAAATGAAAAAACTAAGATTTTTATGAATAGTGAGCCAAATATATCATGGTTTTGGAACTTAATGGATTCTCAGTGACTGTGGAAAATGACTCAGAAATCTCTTCAAAAATGAAGAACCCTTGGGAGCTTGTTTGGAAGTCTAGGAAGGGAATGCAGTTACTTGTATCTCTTGACTGAGGAAATGGTTCTCCTCTATCAGGAGTGCTCATCTTCTTCCAGTGAGTGTGCAGGTTTGAGAGGAACCACGTAGCACAGTTAGGGAGGAAGGGGACACCTACCTAGCCAGCCAAATCAGCCAAATGAATCCTAGTGATCAGTGGGGTGACAGATGTCACAGTCAGTTCTCTATTATATCCAGTTGGCCACCTTCTTAGGGAGATATTAGTAATTGGGATGACTTTTTTGTCCTTCTGATTCTTGTTGGTATTAACTTATTGCAAAAGAGATGTTAACTGATGCCCTATAGAAAAAGTCCTGATGAGTCCACTACATACACATGTAAAATTATAACAGAGTTACTGTAGTGCAACTTGGCCAATAAATCTGAGTGCAGTCTGATTAAATGCAATTGTCATGTGTGTTTGTCCATATGTCTTTTAAATCTGAGTTCATACTGGTTAAAGCACCACCAGCTGCTTTGTTTAAATTTTTTTTTTTGCGCTCCACTATTTCTGTTTCTTTTTCTTTTTCTACTGTGGACTTTTCATGAAAAAACTGTATTGTTTTCAGTATAGTCAAACTCAAGACATTGCCAGATATGAGGGCTTATAAGACTTAAATTTTGATAACATAAAGGTTACATATGATTTAGTTTTATATGTATGTTTTTGTCTATTAACTTTCAGATATAATCCTTCAAAATTTTTATTTAAGTTGGCTTATAGGTGAGTGGACACTCATTGGCATTATCCCAAATATTTACTATTCATGTAGCTTGCTAGTAAAATAATTTAAATCAACTGATAAGACTAAAGATATTTTAAAAGTTGGTGACATGTTTCCATGCAGGTTAGACAACAAGATAATATTAAAAAATCAGTTTTATAAATGCAGTATCCATTATTTTCTGTGTACAATAACTTAAGAGTTTTTCCTTCTTTAAAGATATTATATAGAATAGATAAGGATACTCCTTTAGAGAGGAGAAAATATAGAAAATAGTTTATTTAGATCACTTATGAGTAAAGCAGCTACCTACTAGAGATAAATTGGGAGACAAGTTTATACTGATAAAAATTAAGAATAGACTGTGAACTAATACTCTGGACAAAAATCAAATTTCTTCAAACAATATGGAATGCAGCCCTTCCTAACTAAAGGGAGGTGCAGACACTCTCTACCAAGCTCCTAAATTTGGAGAAAATTATGTATATTAGCTAGCTCCCCCCACCATCCCAGTTTCTTTTAAAGTCTATATGTTGAAGAACTGGGTTAAAAGCTTGCATTCCAGTTAGTCATTTTAAGTCCACAGAACCAATTGTGATTGGTAGTCACTAAACAACTGAGCAATTTTGGCTTTGTTTATCTATAATTAGCCCTGGGGGTGGGATGCATCTACACACACGAGACTCCTTCTTGAAATTCAGGAGCTATTTTTCTTATTTTTTCCAATAAATTTCCTCTAACCTCCAAAACAAAAAATTAAGATCCCTTTATAACATCAAAATATCTCAGCCCCTCACTTCCATGATAGTAGCTGGGAAGACACAAATAGTAATGATTAGATTTTCATCATATATATATATATTATTTTTTAATTAAAAAAATTTTTTTGGAGAAAGGGTTATGGTATGCAGTGCAGGCTGTCCTTGAACGTATTTATTTAGCCCAGGCTGGCCTCAAACTCATGGCAGTCCTCCTGCCTCATCCTCCCAAATGCTGGGATTTACAGACATGGGCCACTATACCTGGTTTGCACACAATCTATTTGAATTCCATTTCTTACCACTTTTGGCCTCTGTTAATTATAAGAACATTGTATATGGTTCATGTTCCATATTTGACTGTATTTAATATGAGGTAACAGTAAGTTGGGCAAAAAGATTTTAGTAAGGTTTTGTCATAGTTCTTTGGCTCTTTCCAGGTCTTCAATCCTACATCTGGGACTGCTGGTGTTTTTTTCTTTAATGTGAAAGACATTGATGTAAACATCAAAAAGTTACATACAAGGAAGTGGAGGAAGTGGGGACAGGAAGGAAAGTAAGGTGAAGTAATAAGAATCACTATGTGCTAAGAACACATACCAACCCACTATGATGAATATAACCATTATTACAGTGCCAACATGTATTAATAAAAAACAAAGAAAATTTAAACAAAAAGGCTACATGGTATGTATAAGGGGGAAGAGGTTGTGATCGGGAAAACAGATTAAATTAGGTTTCCTCTCAACCAGCCGGTTTAGACTTTCATAACAGAAGGAAACTGAATGAGTACCAATATTGTCTTTTTGTTGTTCAACTTCTTCAAAAGTTGAAGGCTCCGCATCCAGCAGTGTAAAAGTATTGCTGCTTGGAGCTCTGAGGAAGCCCTTTACCCTATCCGTAGGCAAACTAGGTAATTTTGAAACCCAGAGTTCACCTATAGATCTGTTCTCTAAGGTCTTTTATTTTCTCTTTGGGGGCTGACCAAGGAGAATCAAAGCAGTACCCTTTGAGGGCCAACGCAAGCACCCACATAACCCTGGGAAGCCAGGTCTCAGCAGCAGCATGAGGAACCTTCCCTGCAGCCTGGCTGGAGTCCAGCAAGCCCCACCCTGCACTGACTTTCAGGAGAAGGGAAATCACAAGCTTTCAGTTTCATTTTCCTGCATTGCAATGACACATTTTTTTCATGTGGAATACACTAGTTCAGAAGAAAAGTCTTAAATAAAATGGTGATAAAACTTTAGAGGGTTTTCTTTTCAATCAGATGAAAATGTTTTACAGCATTTAAATTTGTCAAAGTTCAGAGTTTGTGGTTGGTTACAATTTTCAGTCTAGTCTGGTTTCCTCAGTTCAGGGTCTATATTTTACCTAGGTCTTCTAGTTAAATCTCTGGTCTTCCACTTCCAGATGTAGTCTGTGTGTTTACCATCTCTACTAAAACCTTTCTTTTTCACGAATTATAGTACCAGTCACATCTAGTGATACATACATAAGAGTTTTGATATTTCTCATTCCTTTTTAAATCATTTTATAAGAAGTAGCTTATGTACATTTCAAAATATATTCATCTTTAAAGGTATGTTTTGGCTTTTATAAATAATTTTTGAGATATCTTTTAAAGAGACTTGATTAAACAAATGTTTAATGATTAGAAACTTACCAAGGCTTTTCTGAAAACTTCTACTTTTTGTATTAGAAGCTTGAAATATATCTTTGTGAGGTTCTTTGATCTTGAACTTTTAGAATAGTTTGATTTGCTGGAGAATTTGCAAGTCACATTCAGTAAATCAGTGAGGGAGGAGAGATGTAGGCCGAATGCTGTTGGTTTGCTTGAGGATAAATTTTTGAGAGTCTATTAAATCAAAAAGCAAACAACAATAAAAACAAAAATCAATTTCACGGCAAATAAAATGCAATTGATTGGACTATTGTTTGGAAGTGTTTATAGTATGAATTTTCTCCTTAACTTTCTACTCTGAATATTTTCACATATATACAAGTTCCAAAACATAGTGAAAGGAACATCCCCGATGACATTTTTTCCGTGCTTACATGCTTTTAATGCAAGTTCACACACCACAATGTGTAGCAGGCTCCTGTCTCTCTCCCCACATTCCATACTCAATGAGGAATGAATCCTATGCCGCTCAACACATAGAGAGGATCTGATCACCACTGTTGGACTGCAAGAATAGCTCCCTCCCAAGGTTGCCTTTTGCTGTGATGGATCCTTTCAGACACTTCTCAAAATACAAGCCACGTAACCTTGATAAAATGTAAATAATATGCCAATAACCTGTCTAATCTCTCCAGTGGCTTTCCATTTGACACAGTGAACTACAAGCTCCCATATCATCCGGCACCCTGCCTACCCTCTGATAGTACATCTTTCATTTTTCTCTCAAATCTGGTCTGGCCTACGATCTCCTTGTTATTCCTTGCTGTAGGCAGCTCCTACTTCTATTTCAGGTTGTTGTGCTTGTCTCTTTTGCCTGGATTGACCTGTCACAAGGCTCACTCCTTCATGTCTGTGAGGTCTTTTATGAAATGTCACCTTCTCAGTAAAGCACTGCTTGGCTAGCCTATGAAAACCTTTTTCTCATCTCCCAACAATCTTCTTTCCTTTTCTGGCTTTATTTGTAATTTACTGAGGACTTAGCACAGCCATCTGGTTTCTTACCTACTTACCTTATTTCCCATTTCCCTCATTGTTCTGTGCATTCCATGAGGATAAGAGCTTTGTATACTTTGTTCATTATTTTATAAATGCCTGCCACCTTCTAGATTCCTAAAAATTTGTTGAATGCATATCATATTTTCTTAGAGTTATTAAAAAATCGTGAATTTATGAAAACCCTCATGATAGCAATGCCTGTAAGTCTAAGGACGTTCCTTGTTTTGCAGAGGTTAATTACTCCACCAGAAACCCAGACAGAAATCTAGGGAGAGAGCCATTCATTAGGCCAGAGCTAAGGCCTTATGAACTGATCACAAACATGAGAAAGAAGTTTTATCAGAAGAAAAGGAAAATTAATAAATCTGTTTATCCTGCAATTCTTGTAAGCACCCAGTTTCATAATACCCATCAGCTTTCTGCTGTGTCATAGTCCTCGGTGACAGAGTCTCAATGTCTTCACTTTTGGCACCTGCAGCCTTTTTAATTTACTTCCTGGTGAAGCAATTGCTGCTTTCAGCACAGGCATCCTGATCTGGTCAGAAGGCCCACCCTCCTTCCACTAGAGTCCTCGTTCACACTGTAAACATCTACCTCTCTCTGGAGAGCCTGAAGATGGAGAGAGAAGATTCTGGATTTTCTCCCTTAGACGGCGAAGACAGCAATTCCAACAGGATTTAGCATTCTAAAAACGGATGGAGCAGAGCACCAGCAGTTCCCCTTTGCAGCCCATGCCTTCTTTAAAGGTTCTCTGGCCTCCAAGCAGTGACTCCTGGGTCTGTCTAGGGTAGGGGTGTGATGCAAAAGGAACCTCACAGCACGACGTTACTACTTTCCTTCAGACCCTGCCAATAGATACAACACATAGGGATACTCACATGTTCTCTTTTCTTCTGTTAACTAGAAAAGCTGACACTAGCTCGTCTCAATATGATATACTAGACTCCTCAGTGATACCCTCGAGCCTATTATAATGTCCCAAATTTTTCAACCCTGCCTCTTCAAGAAGATTCCATTCATGAATGCACAATCAGTAATTTAAGCCTATGCTATTCAGTAGAGCTTTTAAAATAGTTCATACTTTATGAAGTCTAAGAGTATCTGCTTATGTAATATTGAAACTAAGTAAAGACCAAGTTTGGCAAGAACAAATTCTGAAATTACCTTGGTATAACTCTTGACTTTCTGGTTTCCGGCAGCTCACAGCTTCCTGTTTCAAAGCCACTGTGAATATAAATTTTCTTAGTAATCATTTCTTAACTGTTGAAAGCAGCTACAGGATGCCATTCTCAAGCGAATGCTCCCTTAAGTCAGCAGAACTCCTGAGGACAAGCTTGGGGGGCCCTCTCCATCACAGGAGGCTCTCGCCAGCCCGCAGCCCAGGTCATCGGCTTCTGAGGGTTGCCCGCTTTCTCTCTTACCGCTGCCCAGGGATGAGAGACGCTCCCTCTGGTTGCAGCCTGGGGCGTCTCCACCCCCTCTAGTGGCACCCCGAGAAATTGAAACTATACAGGAGCAGGCTGGTTTTGTTTTCCTCACTTCGACTTTAAAAAATCAGACTGCTGCTTGAGGTAGCCACAAAAGAAAGATCAAGATAGAAGAAAAGCTATCCTTTGGCAAGTGCCACCTTTGAACAAGGGTAAAACATTCATAATAAATTATGGGAGGTGTAATTTTGCATATTTACACAGGACTACCGATTCTGCTACAATCTTTTAGGCTGAAATTCTTGACATTCTTGGTGCTGTTTGTCCTTTCCCCTGGCCAGCAGCCCTACCAGGAGCCCTCTCGCTATCCTTATCAGTTCTCTTATTAGTTGTCACCACCTAATTACACTCGATGGTATGGTTCTTTCCAGAAAAGCACTTACTATTATCACTTAAATATACTGATGTGTATTTAACACACGAATATTTCTATTTAATTATTTTTATAAGCAATGGTTCATACAAAAACATGTATTAATACAAAAATAAAGCCGATGAAGTAAGAGATAGCTGTCCCCTCATCCACATGACAAACAAAGACTTGATAACTTACCAAAAATGTCCTCAAGGCGTTTTCTTTTTACGTCAGAAACTTGAATCCCGGCATTTTAACCTTTGCTTTTTTATTTCTCTTCTCACAGCTAGGAAACATACTTCTAAGAATCCTTTAATAAAAAACAAGATCAATCACACTAAGCCCCTAAGCAATGAAGCTGTGTAGTTGCCAAAGTGGTCTCAGAACGGTGCCAGGCTCCCTTGCAGAATGAGGAAGTAGAAATACAGACACAGAAGTTTCAGTTTTGCTTGGGAAGTTTTACTTCCTTTATTGTACTTTTTTTTTTAATTTAAGAGAAAATAAGACACAGAAAAGAAAAAACAAACAAACAGCAAAAGACACAAACAACAACAAACCCAAAACAATAACAGTACCAAATCAGATGATAGAAATTTAACAACGGTTGTAATATTGCATATTGTTACCTTCAAAAGGGTTGCTCAGATTACCAGACATAGATATGCAAAATTGATCTAATCATTAGTATTAACTGTTCTTTTCCAAGAATTAATATAATTAGTAGTCCAGTCATTTTCGCTATTTTTATGATCTATTTTAAATTTGTCTTTTTCCTTTCCCTTCCTTCTTTCTACCTTTCCCCTAACCCAGTTACTTTTCCTCTTTGAGCATTTTGGATTCTGTTTAAGTTTCTTACCCTAGGGAGATGATATGGAATTTACACATGTGAGAATGATTTATTGCACTTATGAGTATGGTCTCACATCCATTTACTTATAAAAGCTTCAATGTAGTCTTTCTTTATAGCTGAGTAGTACTCCATTGTATAAGTATACCACACCATTTTATTCATTCCTTGCTTGATGAGCACTTGGGTTGTTTCCAAGATGTGACAGTTACAAATATACAGCTATAAACATGGGTGCACATATATCACTGTGGTATGATGTTTTCAGTTCTTCTGGGAAAATACCCAGGAGTGGGATAACTGAGTCAAATGAAATATCTAATCCTCACTTTTTGAGGAATCTTCACACTGATTTCTACAGTGGTTTGCAGCAGCCCACACTCCTACCAGCAGTGGAGAAGTGTTCCTTTTTCCCCTCAGCCCTCCCAACATTTGTTATTGGTTGATATCTTAATCTTGGCCATTCTTTCTGGGGTGAGATGGAATCTCAGAGTTGTTTTAATTTGCATTTCTCGAACGATCATTGATGTTGAACATTTTTTTGTATTTTTGTTTGCATTTGTACTTTTTCATCTGTGAAGTGTGCATTCATCTCAGATGCCCATTTTTGAATGAGGTCTTTGAATTTTGGGGGCCTGATGTTTTTTTAATTCTTTGTATGTTTTAGGTAGAAGTTCTTTGTTGAGGGGCAGTTGGCCAAGATATTTTCCTAATTCGTGGGTTTTCTTTTCACTCTGTTGGAGATTCCCTTTGACATGCAAAAACTTTTTAATAAGATGAAACCCCATTTGTTGATTATGGGAAGTATTTCCTGTGCAGTTTGATTTTTATTTATGAACTCTCTGCCTATTTCTTTGTTGTGAGATTTTTACCTACTTTGTCTTCCAGCATATTTAGTGTTTCTGTTTTAGAATTTAGATCTTTGATCTATTTTAACTTTAGAGAATGGTTATAGACATGGGTCTAGTTTTAGTTTTTGGCATATGGAAAGCTAGTTCCAGCACCGTTTGTTAAAAAAGTTATCTTTCTTCTAGTAAACATATTTGGCCTCTTTGTCAAAGATGGGGTGGCTGAGTAAGTTTGTAGCTGTGGCTGCATCCTCTTATCTACTCTATTGATCCTCAGATCTGCTTTTATTCCAGTGCCATGCTGATTTTATTAGAGTAGCTTTGTAGTATAACTTCAAGTCAGGGATTGTGCTGCCTCCTGCCTTGCCGTTGTTGCTTAGAATTGTCTTTGCTATTCTAGGTCTCTTCTGGATCCAGATAAATTTTATGAATGATTTCTCTAGATCTATGAAGTATGCCTACGGTATTTGGATTGTATTAAATCTGTGTAACAATTTTGGGAGAATAGCTATTATCACAATGTTTGTTCTTTCTATCCATGGACAAGGAATGTCTTCATTTTCCAAAATTCTCTTCAATTTCCTTCTTAGAGTAATGTAATTTTCAACGTATAGATCTTTTACTTGCTTTGTT